TGAAAGCACCACTGTTATTTCACTGGAGAGGTCTGCAAGTTACTCCAAGCTAAAATTGACTTTTCTTAGCAAGGCGGTGAAGGCTTAAGCCTCTAAATCCTGCATTACTTGAATCAATACGCCTTGCAGTCACTGAAAAGAGTATCCCTGACAAGGCTAAACCGCATAATCTCCCATCTCCCTGGTGCTGATGGCCGAGTTCCCACCGTGTCTGTGGGAAATACCATTATCCCCATTATGGAGACAGCAGTCAGGACAGACACAAGCCAGGCTATGCCTGCACTGCAGTGACAGACAGACACTCGTGTGGACATCTCTGTGCTGTTCTGGGCTCTGCCATCCTCCAGAGCACCGTGTGCCCTCTGGGTGCAGGACACTGCTGCTGCCCCAGCCCCTGCTCTGCTCCAAAGGCGGGTTGGACACTGCCTGCAGAGAGGCTGGTCACCACAGACAGTGCAAATCATTTGGTAACTGGTCTGAGGCAGGACAGGGAAATTATTCCTGTTCCCAGCTCTGCTGGGCTGTCCTGTCTCTGTCCTGGACCACAGGACTCCCCATTTCCATATGTTTTTCTTCAGGGAAAGTACGCAGTGCCAGGTTCATGCCAGCAAGACCAACAGATTTCAGAACATCTAATTTCTTTTTCTGACCCAGATGACTTCACCTGCTTCTATAATTATTTTATGTAAGAACAGACTATTGAGCAGTAGCATTAGTTTCCTCAATATATATGCAAATTTTTAAAAATAACAACAACAAGAAAGAAAAAAGAAGCCTGTACTGTTGAGTAAGCAAAAAGGACTTTTGCTTAATTATCATGGGGAAACAGCCTTGCAGCAGCAGCCCAGAGACAGCTTTGAGATCCTGCCTGCCTTGCCCATTGCTCATAGCTTGGCCAAACCACGCAGATCACCAGCAGAACCTTACTGCTTTCAAGGATGAGAAAATAAAACAAAACACATGGGATTAACTCCAGCTTCAAATGCAGGCACACAGTGCTGCCACATCAGGCTTCCCGCTGTGCCAGGAAATGCCAGCGTTGTGCACCAGACCCCCAGACTCAGGGCAACGTGTGAGGCTGCACAACCTCTGCACCGAATTCCAGCTGATGTGTACAGAAATATTCAGCAAAGTGTACTGCTGCACAGCAAGGAAAAACATGACAAACAGATGACACCTTAACCAAGAGGCTGGGTTTCCAAAAAGTCTTATCCTGAGCTGGAAGCTTGCAGAGCAGTTAAGCCCTGCTCTGAAGCAAGAAGTGGCACCTTCACCACTGCAAACAGCTGAGTCACTCTGGGCTCTGAGGTGCTGCTGAAATACACAGGGCTTTCTCTGTTTTACTGGTTTTATGTTTTACCTTTCCTATTTTTCAATATAATCAGAAACACATTTCATGAGGTGTCTCGTGACAGACTCCAACTATTTTAAAATCAACATTTTCATTAAGCAGGTGGAGTCTGGTATTAAGAAATCAGCAACTTGCAAGGGCTTTTATCAAAAGTTGGCGGACACCCTGGTAGACTGCTCAAACATGGAAGGAATTTCTGGCTACATAGTGAGTCCCTAGACTTTTAGAAAAATATTATTGTTTGAGTTTTCAGTAAATTGGACGCAAAAAGACAACATAGTCAAATTTTTCTTTTCATAAAGATATGTCATTTTTATTAAAAATGTTATGTCATTTTAGGCTTCTAAGTTTCTTCTCATCCCATGTGTCTGCTTTTGCTATGGAATATTCCTGATATAAGAGTAAATAAATGCACTGTGAAGAGCACTCAGAGATGTAGTGACATCATCAGCCTGAAGAGGTAATGCAAAATTGTGAGAGTGGTCCTGAGCCCTTGAAGTCCCATGCTCACTGAAAGGAAGAGCATGACAAAGATGTGTCTGTGCTGGAGATATCCACAGAGTGATGGTTATAAAAAATATAACACTGACTGGCTCCTGCTGTGCTCCCTCCTAGTGCCAGCCTGAGCATTGTCCCACAGACTGGAAGGGCTGTAAATAGCTGCTTCTCCATAGAGGCAATCCTTAGGCAAAATTTGACTATAATATATTTTGATCCTTTGCCCCTTCCCCTCCTGTAGCTCTAAATTCTATTTCCATGTCCATTTTGAATATTGCCTGTAAGAGGCTATTAGCCTTTGTGAAGAACAGCTTGTGTTTCCCTGTTAAAGACCTTCTCTGCCCAAGGCAGGGAATGCACCAGAATTAATAAGTGGCTTTGCATAAGTGACTAGGGATAAGGACAAAAAACAGTCACTGAAAAGATTCTGGAGTTTCAAGGGCTTTGGTAGCTGTGTATCTGGCTCACAGCTGTGCCAGGTGCCTCAGACTGAAAGCACTCCCAGTGCATGGTGTCACTTGCAAGTTCTCCTGAAGCCACCACTGAGCTTCTTAGAGGAAGAAGAAATTATTTACTCATACCTGGACCATAAACTGAATGAACTCAGAGATCAAGGATAATCTTGCTGATGAGCTACAAATAGAAATAACTGAGAAGAAAGCATTTGTTTAACTTTGTTTACCTGAATTGCAGATTCTGCATGCTGAGATAGCAGTAGTGCTGATGAGATACTGGATATTGGAAAATACTCGTTTGGGTCAGAGTCAACTATGCAAGTAAATCTGGCCCAAGGAAGAGATGTGGGTGAGGAAATTAAACTCCAGTACTTTGTGATTTTTAGAAGGAAAAAAACCCCTGTACTCTTTCTGAGGGTAGCTGAGCAAAAACCTCACAGCAAATTATCTCAGCAATTTTTCTCCTTTCCAAAATAGCTAATTGGGGTAGGGTTTTGTTATGTTTTTCTCGTTGTTGTTGGTTTTTGGGGGTTTTGTTGGGTGTTTTGTTGTTGTTGTTGTTTGTTGTTGTTGTTGTTTTGTTGCTGGTGGTTGGTAGTTTGTGTTGGTTTGGTTTTGATTGTTTGGTTTGTTTTGTTGGTGGCTTTGGTTTGGTTGGGTTTTCTGGGGGTGTTGGTGGAGTTTTTTTGGTGGTTTTTTTGTTTGTTTGGTTGGTTGGTTTTTTTGTTTTTTTAAATTTGATTAAGTGTTTTGGTGAAGCCTGGATCCAGCCTTTTCTTTCCTAAGTCATCTTTGGCAGCAGCTGGGTTGCTGACTTGTAGTATTGGGAGACCATTTTTTGCTGTTCAGAAAACTGCTGTTCTGGCAGAGCAACTGCATTTTAGCAGCTTGCCAAACATGACTGTGATAGAAGGATAATATTTCACTCCTACCTTCAGCTATTCTTTACAGCAATGAGATGGTGATTAAGAGTCTGTTTCTTCACCAGCAAGACTCCCAGTCAGTGGGATCCTTTCCTTGGACGTGCACCTGGTCGCTGTGTTTAGATCTATGATCTGGCTACTGGGGGTCAAAGGCTTCCTGTCTCCCTCTGGCCTCTTCACTGACTTGTCCAGGCAACTCTTCCTAAAAATAGGATACAGCGGTCCTAAATTTCCCACAATCAGGACCCCCAACTTCTCTTTCCTCTCCAAGCATCTACCATTTTAACATTCAGGAGCACACGCTGTTACTAAACCAACTTTTCTTTATGAAGGCAAAGAAGTGCATAACGAGACAGTAGTACACAGCCCTGTTCTCCTATTTCCCCCAGGTGTTTTGGTGCATTTAACTCAGAGTTCTCTGCAACATATAGAGTATGTCTTTTCCTCCAAAACTAGTTTTCCCACATTAAGATGAATCTTCCTGGTGAACTACAATGGCAGGGGACTGCAGTACTTCAAACTTTTTTGTTTTTGTTAATACCTTATTAAAATCTGAATTTAAAAATTTGGTGGTGGCATAATTTTCAAAGTAACCAGTTCTTCATTCAAGGGTACCTCCATTTTACAGGACAATTGACATATAAAACAACATATGCTCAGCTTCAGGCCTGTATCCCAGCATCTGGGTTACTCAGCTCTGTCTGGCATCTAATAAAAGAACAAAGCCTCATAAATTCAACCCAGAAAGCAAAATAACTTTTATACTTTTATCAAAGCCATATAGAGATGTATTCACTTTGCTTGAGACTATGAATGTGTAAATACATGGGTTTTCCCAAGCAGCCATCACAAGCACTATTGGTTTGATTGACAAATTGTGAATTATAGAATCATAGAATCAATTCATTATAGAATCCCAAAACATGCTTGTTTTGGGAGCATCTTTAAAAATCATCTCATTTCAACCACACTGTCATGGATGGGGATATCCTCCTGAGAGCACAGTCCAAGCCAGCCTTCAACACTTCTGCAGATGGGGCATCCACAAATTCTGGAGGCATCCTGTTCCAGTGCCTCACCAACCTCACAGGAAAGAATTTATTCCTAACATCTAGCCTAAACCTACTCTTTTTCAGTTTGAAGCCATTTCTTGTCATGTTACTACCAGTCCTTGTAAAAAGTTCCTCTCTATATTTCTTGTAGGCTTCCTTCAAGTACTGGAAGGTGGCAATTAGGTCACCCTGACGTTTCTCTTCTCCCAGCAGAACAATCCCAATTCTATTAGCCTTTCCTCATGGGAGAGCTGCTCCATCCCTTTAATCAACTTGATGGCCTCCTCTGGACTCACTGCAACAGGTCCATGTCGTTCCTGTGCTGGGGAAGTTTGCTTTTTGGAAGGATTTCTCTCTATCTGCAGCCTATGTAGTCCCACAGTTCAGGGAAGAGACAGGATTAGGGCCTGTGACACTTTGAGAACCCTGTGCTTTTCCTTACACGTATTTCTGTTGTTCATGATGCTCACTGTGTTGTTTTCTCTCTGGAATGAAAAGAGCCAGTGGTGTTTGTTTTTGTTACCCTCATTCCCTCTTTCCCTGCTCTGGGCAGGAAAGCTCTTGCAGCTCTGCCTCATAGGCTGGCAGGAAATTTAAGACGGCAGCAAGCTGCTGCTCGGACCACCCCCAGACTTTTCTTCCTGTTCATGCAGGAGACTATTTAATTGAGAGCTGATTTGTCCAGCTTACTCACTGATGCTCAGCAGTACCTACCTAAGCAGTGGGAGTGATTTTTTCCCTCCCTTCCTCCTCTTTTGGACACACTGCCCACCATGAAGATGCTGCTGCTCCTGGTTGCTCTGCTCTCTGCCGCCCTGCTAGCCAGCGCTGCCCCTCCGACCTGCTACTCCAGGGTGCTGGCTCTGAGCAAGGAAATCACAGAGTCCTTTAAGGAGCTGCAGACCTCCAAGACTGTGGTGAGTCCACCTAAAAACTGCTCCTGCACAGACTCTGCAGGTCGCCACTTTTGATAGAGATTCCTGTCAAAACAAAATCACGACAAGTCTTTCGTCCTCCTTCCCGCAGGACTCGTGTGTGGGGACGCTGCCCAGGCTGTACTTGGACATACACGTAAGTTTGCACACTTCTTTCTTACTGTTGTGCAGGAAAAGCAGCTAATGAAAAGGGAGAATAACTCCCAGAGGAGTGATTTAAAAGGATTTTTTAAAAGCTTAAATAACTGGATAGATGAGTGACAAAAAAAAGTCAGTCTGAACCTTATTAAAATCCCAATGGACTTTCCGAGATTTTACTTGATTAAAAATTTTTAAATTAAGAAATCAGTGTTTTTAAATTATTACCATATGCACACAATTAATTTACTGAGACAGAGCCTTTTCAGAAATTAAATAAGTGCAACAAAACTTTGAATAATTGTGTAAAAGGAGAAATGTAGAATTAACTTTCTTCACTTAATAATTCTACTTCATTTTATATCCTGAGTGGTTTTTGGCATCTAGTTTTAATAAAAAGCAATGCAGGAATACCTTGCTGGCTTTTTCTCTTATAAAGAGCTACTTGTTGAATACAGAAAGAAAAAGAGTGCCTGAGGATATGGAAGTGTGATATTGAGAAAAAAAAGCAATAATTGTCTCCCAGCTAAGAAAAAATAACCTGCACACACAGTTATTGTCCTAGTGTTCTGCAGTGGGATATTTGACATGTTTTGCTTTTTTCCAGTGTTCAGCAGAGTAGACAAAAAATAGAAAATATCAGACAAAACAAATTTCTGACACATTTTTCCATAAGCAACTACACCAAGTTTTGTAATTCAGGACATTCTAGATCACAATTCCAGAGCTGCCAATGTCTCACATCAGGACAAAGACCAAGGAATGTGATTCCAGTACCTCAGTTTCCCTGGCTTTAAAGCAAAAGCTGGGATATTTATTTACCTGCTTCACAAGGACATTGTGAAATTCATGTTGTCTGTGTTTTATTTTGATAACACAAAGTCCGAGGTAAAAATTTCTCCAAAAAATCAGGACTGGTCATGGTTTCTCCTATTGTACAGGAATAGAGGAATCAGATCTGTGAGATCTTGATAATCTCTTCATCTGCTAAATCATGTGCTCTCTAAAAAGTGAGAGACTGCACCTATTCTGTAGAATATTCCACCTACTATGGGAGCAGATTTGATTGTATTGGTGCTGCTGCCTCCTAAAGCATGTGAGAAATTAGCTGGCAGACTAACAATGTACATATGCAATTTTCCAAGCACTTGTTTTGACCAAACATCTTTGTTATAAAATACTGATGATTGATTTGCCTGACTAAAGGTTGCATAGATTACATGTACATAGAGGTAGGAATTCAAGTTTCTCACACAGCAGTAAGAATTTTGGAAGTGGTGGACGAGGAATATAAATCTGTGTTTGTGCAGGGTTACACAGACCTCTTTTCGTGCTTTGCAGAATTACTGTGTCTTGGCAAAACTCCGTGACTTTGTGGCCTACCCTGGGTGTGACAGAGTGGTTGAAGTGAATGAGCTGAAGGAAAAAGCCCGGAGCCTGTACACCATCTTGATCTCCTACTGCAGAAGGGTAGGTCAAGATGCATCAACAGGGGCAGAGTCCCTGCTTTTAGCCCTGCCTGTCTCCACACTGTCCCCTGACCACCAAAACTGGATCAGGGCCAAGCTTCTCACTGTGCTGTCTTTTGCCTTCCTCTTTTTTTTTTTTTTTACTCTTTTATGAATAACTTGACTCATATATATATTCTCTCTTGACTTAGCTGTTTTTCTTGTATTAGATGGGCATGGAAGGGACCATATTTGTTTTTCTTAGAATGTTTGATAGAAGAAGAGTCATGCTGTACTGACAGATTTCTCTGCCTTTTTTTTTTTTTTTTTTTTTTTTTTTTTTTTGTGTTTCTCCAGGACCTGGTGTTCCTCACTGATGACTGTAATGCTCTGGAAATTCCCATTTCACCTCCCATTGAACACTCCACTGAGAGCTAAAAGACAGTTAACCCAAAAGGTAGACCTGGGAAAGTTTCAAGGAGACCAAAAGTCAAAATATGTATATGCAGTCTATAACATTAACAACTAAGATATTTTTCAAGCACACTAGTAATATAATCTCAGACCTACCCATTTTTCTCTGTCTTGGCAGGAAATGAATTGCATGCCTTGCATACCTACTGAGCTGCTAGGGTACCTACCATTAGGGAGCAGTTTTTCGTTTGGCAAGGTACAATATTTCAGCTTAGCCAAATGTATAAAGTATGTTTTGTTTAAACATCAGAAACTAGATTTTGAGAGAGAGAGAGAGAGAGAGAGAGAGAGAGATAGTTTTTGATGTAGGATTTGTGAGAATAGAGATGAAAGAAACATGTCTCTGTGGAGAACTAAATAAAAACAATCTTCTAATCCAAGATGCTTGTGTTGCAATATATCTTTCAAGATCAAGCTGAAAGGCATCACTCTTATAAACTTTCTTTTCACAGTCACTTGCAAGTTGTTTTTCCCAGCATAACCTTTGTTTCCATAGCAATGCAAGCTTTGTTGTGTCTGCATGCTTTGACCATGTGTGAGTTTCTACTAGTAAAATTTTTCTATACTAGAAACAACTAGTTTGCTGAAATTAGTGATTTGTTTTTAATAGTATTTCTGGGTTGCGAGATAAATTCTGAGCCAGAGGCTCAGAAAGCCTATTAAAATTTCAGACAGTTTTTTGAGACATAACCCATATAGTTGAGCTAGTGGGATTAATAAAATTTCCAGACAGTAATTCCAAAGTCATGGGTGTCTTCAGAATGTGCAGCACATGAGCACACAGCTTCACAACCAACAGCTCTTTGGTGTCAAGAACAGAAAGCACCTTCCCCATATTCTTGGAAGTAGCTGCTGTTACCTCAGACAATCCCTTCCTTCCCCCAGTGTAAGTAATTCCTCACTCTCCAGAACAGAATTTGTTGACCGTCCATCTACAGCACTGCCAGCCCTGGTGACTTGGTCAGTGGTCTCATCACTTTTTATAAAAGCCCCGTCTTCCATAATTGGGTGTTTACACAACAATCACAGCTCCTCTGCTTGACATCCTGATGGTACAAATCAACATTTGACAACTGTTATGTAAATAAGTGAATAATAAGATTAATTCAAAGCAGAAAGAGTGTTGGCGATGGGCAGGGAAGGGTTTTTTCCTTCATTATGGAACCACCTTCTTTTGTTAAAACTACTAGTCTGATTTGAGCAATGGAAAAGCAATGGGAAATTTGACTGTGCCTTTGAGTCATAGAATAAGGGTGGGAAAATCTGACACCAGGAGAGGTACAGGGGGAAGAAGTAAATGAGGGCTTTTCTTTCCAGTTTGTTTCAATTCCAAGTGTACATTCAAGGAAAGTGCCTATCAGACTTTGTAATTCCCCCTTGAAGATAAGTCCTCATGTGCTAACCTTAATGATCCTTTAGATGAGCCATTCTGCCCACAGTGGTTTCACTCCAGTGTCTCTACAAGCATCTGGTAGAGACAGTAGCAACTCAACAACCTAGTCTAGTACCAGGCTGAACACAAAAACGTGCAACAGCTAGATGGTCCTACTATCAGGAAAATCATTGCTTAGTTTGCTTTTCAGAACCCTTCTTTCCAAGCCAACAGCCTCTGTACAAGACCCAATGCACTCTAGAGACACCAATACCTATTTTTCTGCATCATTTGGACATGCCCAAGGCAAACTCCTTCCACAACAGCCATATTCTGCAATAAAGGCACCTCTTAGCATGCTGGCAGGCAGCCTGGTACCCAGAGAAGGAGAATGTAAGCACTGGCAGGTCCCTGGATCAAGGAGAAATACAGATAGAGTTGAACCATTTGCTGTCAGACTCCACATTCAAATTTTTGCTCCCTCTAACCAGGGAGTGAGACCCCTCCCTTGCTTCCTTCCTTCCTGGGGAAGCAAGAAGTGCTGGGATAACATCAAGTTCTATCCACTTCCATAAAAACACCAAAACCACATCACAGACTCTGTTTTTCATATCTTTGTACAAAGCCAGCCATGGATGAACCCTGCATGAAAGTATGGTGCACAGTCACCACAGCCCAGGGTGCTTACAAAGCTAACCCAGGGACTGGACAGCACACATGTTTGGAAACTGGCAGCAGAAGCTGTTAATTTTTGGCTGTTTTTTCCACCTCCAGATGTCACAGGTTTTAAAGACTGGCCTGTTGTAAAGCTTGTATTGTCACTTGGCAAGCAAACTGCAGAGCAAGATGCTTTTCCTCTCCTGCAGAAGCCCATACCACAGTGCCTTGAGTAAACGTGCCGGTAACTGTGGCACTTCTGCCCCTGCTGCTTTCCTGTCACAGGGACACACACTCTCTGAAATTGAGTATTTGATAAGGATTTTCTCATGGATCTTCTCAAAACTCCTCTTTTTCTTTATTGAGGATAATAAGCCTTCCCTAGACATGTTGATGAAACTTGTGATCCTAACTCCAGATTTCCCCCGTGATGCTCCCATTCCTTCAACCATCTTCCAAATATATTTTCACCTGCTTCAGGCTGATTACTTCTGTGAAGAAAATGTAACCCAATTTATTTAGTACTAAATATCTTGCAAGAATTCTTTGGAACTGGAAACACAATAGAAATAATTGTTTTATTTGCACTGTTTTTGTTAGTGGCTTTAGCTTTTTCATGACTGACAGGGATACACTCTGCAGTACACTCAGCATGGCTGCTTACCAGCAGCTCTGTTCTGCACTGGTACATCCTAGTTCTGCAGAAGCTGCAAAAAGCAAGTTGGTGCTTTGGGCACTGTACATACTTGAATAGACTTTAAAAGCCAATCCCCATTTGCAGATGTTGTATATTTTATTCCCAGAATCAGGTTTTTCTGGTCGTTGGTGGGCTTTTACAAGTGCATTCCCTATGGCTTATGCTGTGACTCTTGCTACATCTCATATGACATTTTTAATGGAGAGTGCTGAGAGCAAAGCTATGCTCTTTCAGTTCACAGTAACCTCCTGTCATTCAGACTGTCTTAATAAGATTTGTGACTAGATGAAACCTTTTTATGAACAATGTATTTTTCCAGATTTTCACAGTCCAGGGACAAAAAAAAAAAAAAAAAAAAAAAAAAAAAAAACCACCCTACACTGATATAGATATATAATACACTTATAATTTGGCAAGAAAATATCCACCCCTCCCTCTCAGTACAACATTAAGTTTATCAATTTTTTAAGTCACCAGGTATATAAGGAGCAGTGGAGCCTTTCATGCAGCTGAGCATTTATTCCTGCAACACAGCAGCCCAGACTCATTAGGGCTGGCCAACAAGGGAGACTGTGGAGGGATTAAGAAGGACATATTTGTTGTAATGTGCCAACTGGCATCTTGCCTAGTTATTGCAGAATATTACTATAAGCACATCATTAAGAAACTGCACTCAGTTCGTACAGTGATTAGGGAAGAACTGTAGAAAGACAAAGCATCTGTTCTGTTTTCTCTCCTGTTGAAGGAGGTTTGTTGGAAGGAGCAGTCAGCCCTAGGAATAGGTTTTCTTTTGCAGATTTCTCTGGCTCTGCAAGAAGCCTCACTAAAGATTTGCCCTAGGACTGCTAAACTCTCCCTTTTATTATATGGAATCCCTAGATCTTGGTACTGTCTTTGCAAAGCTATTAAAAATATCATTTTCCAATTTTGCAAAAAATTCATAGATCAATTCTACTGGAACCAGGTCCTTTCCATTCTCTTTTTTTTCCAGTCAAATTGGCTTTCCTTACATAGGCACTCTGTTCACTTAACTCCTCATACACTGGGTTTTTTGAAATCAGGAAGGATGGAAGACTTCAAACAAATAATTAGGTCATTCAGGGTGATGAGGCTCCACTGGAGAGAATGTGATTTGCTAGTAATTAAAGTGGTACAAATATTATGGGTTTTTTGTTTTGTTTTGTTTCATTTTGGTTTGGGGATTTTTATGGTTTTTTGGATTTTTTTGGGGGAGGGGCTGGTTTTTTTGGGTTTTTTGGGGTTTTTTTGTTATGAAAAGGGAAAGTATTAATGCAGCATTGAGGAGGAATCTGACCTTTTAGGTTGTACACTTTGAGCAGAGCACTGCTTTGTCCAAACACCACATTTGGAAGTGCCCATTTGTCCATTGCACAATTTTCAATGCTTGAGGTGTTTGCAGGTTGCCTTAATAAGATTCTGACCTAGTTTTTCCAAAAATTTGCTACAATGCTAAAGTCTGGTAAACAGTGTTACCTTACAAACATTTAACCACTGTACTTGGACCAGTACTTTTATCCACTTTAAAATCTTCTCATTTTTGGAGTGTATGGCAGTGCAAGTGAAAATTACAATGGGCAAGCTCCAGCAACTTTATTTGTGCAATCTTTTGGGTTCACAATTTTCTTTTGCTGTGGCCAGGAACCCTGTGCCATCCAGAGTAAACAAACCTGTCTGCAAGGGAGCTCTCGGTAACTAAGTCAAAATCCAGAGACAATGTCCAGAGAAAGGTCATGATCTTCTTATCAAGGGATTTTTCACAGTCTAAGTTTCCTCAGCATAGGGTAAATGTATATCCTGAAATGAATAGTACAGCAATGAACAGAAAACCTATCAAAATATTTATTTTTCCAATACTAATAACTATATAGATGTATATCCTGAAATCTTGTGTCATATTTGCAGATCTATAAAGAGATTGTGTTCAGACAAATAAGAGGATTTTGAAGCCAAACAGATGTGGGGGAAACAAAAATGTCTCCTAAGATGTTTTGCAATGGATTGGAATATTTTGGCATTACTTCATTAATATTCAAATCTTACAGAATGGAATATATTGGCATTACTTCATTAATATTCAAATCTTACAGAAGGAAAAACCAAAGTCATAGGACCAGAAAGAAACTCAAGATCCCCTACTGCATCCCTTAAGCCCAAGACTAGCCTGGCTATCACAGTTCTTTTCTGGCAGCAGTTGGCCTGAAAGACTTTGTGAAATAGTTGATCTAGAAAGCCCACAGAAGTTCAGATCAATCCATTCCAGACCCCACTTTTGTTACAAAGTTTTACCAGGAATACAGTTTACCCTCTCAAAATTTGCTTTCAGATTTATTCATTACAGAAATGGGGATTGGATTGTTATTTCTTGTCTTTGCAACAGATGTTAGTTGAAAGACTTCCATCTCTCTCTCCCTATTCTCCCTATTCCCTATACAAATGAAATTCTTTCAATCTTTCTTCATTG